GGGCCCCCGCCGTGCCAGTCTTAAAGGGGCCCGAGAGAAGGCGACAGGCTGCGGACGGCCGGAAGGAAAATGGTGAGTTGCCGTGGGGAGGGCGGGGGCCGGAGGGCCGGGCCAGCCAGCTGGGTTTTCCTGTTTTCCGGAGCTCGTCGGAGCGGGTAGATCCCGGGGTGGGTCGGCGGCTGCTTTCTCCCCGGTTGCTGGCAGGTGCCCAAAGCCAGAGACTTGGCCTTCCTGGCCCCAGCCACCACGCCTAAGGGCATCATCTTCACGCGGCCCGGGGTCGACCCGCTCAGCCGGCCCTGGGACTAGGGTACCGCCACGGGTGGGGGCGGGGGTCGTTTTCACCGGCCCTTCAGCATAGAGGGTCCCAGTTTCCGAGCTCAAGGTTGGAGGTGCGGGTGGTCTGGCCCAGAAAAGGGCTCTCCCAACGCCAGTCTCTGTGCCAGGGCTGTTAGGCCAGAGGGACCGGCGGCTCCTGAGCACCTTCCACCTGGCGGGTTTTGCTAGGAGGACTTGAATTTTGATTGCCTTTCCTCCGTCTCGTCTTAGCTTTTTTCTGTCTTCTTCCTCTTGCCCTCGTCTGAGGATTTCTCCTTATTCTTGGTCTCTTCAAGTTATGGCAGTTAGAAGGCTTTTGATCAAAGACTTTGGCTCTTGTCTTCAAAGTCATTGCCAAAAGCTTTAGTTTTGCTGGGCCTGAGGGCCATGGCTTCTATCCTTGTGTGGATTGACCCCAAGCATAAAACTAAATTGGAAAATTAAACCAACTGCCATCAAGGATTTTCTGGACACATCTCACCGGGTTTTAGAATATGCTTAAGTATCATTAAGAACAACAACAAAAACACTGCTCTATCTCTGACCTCTCATGTCTCAACCCACTTTCATTGAGTGGATCCTGTCATTGTCACAAAATCCAATGGACTCTTTTCAGTTTTGGTCTTTTCTGACCTTTCAGCTGCATTCCAGACTGTTGGAATTCCTCCCTTCCTCCCTCTTTCTTTTCTTTCCTTTTTTTTTTTTTTTTTTTTTTTATTTGAGAGATTTTTTGCGTGTGCGCTTGCCAGAAAAACAGAGACAGAAAGCGGGAAATCACCCTCTGGGGGTAGGGGCCAGATGGCCACGCCCACAATCTGTCCTCCTCCACTTTCCTTTCGGGATCCTGGGCATGCACACACATGTGCCTGGCGTGAGTTTAAGCCACCGGGTCCGGGATTCAAACCATGGTCGACTCCATGGGAATCCAGTGATGTAGCCATTATGCCAACTGCTGATCCCCCTCCCTCTTTCCTTTTTAAAATACGTTTATTTCTTCTGTGAACAAGAGAGACAGAGACAGGAAGGCAAAATCCAGTCTAAATTCTGTTATCCAATCCCAGCTTCAGCCAATGGGGGATCGGGTGGGCCCAGAGAGGTGTCTGGACCCAAACCCAGAAACTCCCCAGTGGGTCAGCCTTATAAGTTTTGCATTTACTGCTGTGCATGCTGTAGCATTACCCTCTCCCATTTGTGAAGCATTATGTCCCTTCAAGCTTTCCCCCTTTGTCTTATGGGATAGGGAACTCCTAGTTTTCTTCCTCCTTGTCCTGTTGGCCCATCTGTTTCCCATGCAGATTATCCCTTCTCTTGATAATACTTAGGAGTTTCAGCCTCTGACCTAATCCTTCATTTTCTAGTCTGTTTCGCTTTTTTACACTATGGTTTAAATTACCATCTTTTTATATTCAGATAACTTGTGAATTTGTATCTCAGACCTTGCTTCTAGGATCCATTTCCGATCTTTATATTCCATTACTTGATTAACATCCCCTGGGAAGGTTGTCCCAACTTGAGTGCCTCAAAACCACCTCATTTTGTCTGAAATAAAACTCATGCTCTTCCCCCCTCAAATCTGATTTTTTTTTCCCCTCTTGGAGAGGTTTTTGCTAGAGGACGCATGCTCTCACCAGGAAGACAGAAAATGAGAAATCACCCCCCCCCCCCAAAGGATGCACACCCCACACCCCCTCTT